CATTAAAAAACTATAACAATGAACTGTGCAGACTTATGTGTTTTTTTAATTGAGGAAAAAATGAGTATGCTACGTTGAATAAATAAAGCATAAAGTTAAAGGGAGTATAATTTACTCTGTGTATTAGTACTAGTATCCACATATTTGCAAATGATATGACAGGAAAACTGCTAAAACTAGCCATTTTTTGTTGTGGGTACAGTATAACATCCTATAAAATTCAGTTTAATGTTAGTTTTAATCAAAACTTGAAAGAGCCGCTGCGGAGGGACCAAAGAGCCGCATGCGGCTCCAGAGCCGCAGGTTGCAGACCCCTGAGTTAGAAAATTCTATCACAAAATAAATAAACAGCCAAAATGCAGATATCAGTGTTCTAACCCAAAAGAATCAAAACTTGGTCCGTGGATCAGAAGGCCAGCTCGGTCAGACTGGATGCTACTGACTCTGCACAGGATTAGTGCATTATATGTAGCACAGCAAACACACACCATGGACGAAGATCTAAACAGAAAAGCGTTTGTTTCCTTTTCTCCCCTCGCCTGCCGTGCGCTGTGGAGATAAGCTACACCATAACTATGGGAACAAGTAGAGCTCCCTGAGGAAAGCTCTCCAAAACAAAGCACCGGGGGCCTGTACAGCACGCAGACTTTCTAACTGTAAAAATATTCATTCATTTCAGTCTCTACGATATAATGCACATAAAGGAAGTGGGGAAAGCCTTATGCTAATACTGAAGATTGACTGAAGAAGCGGCACAATGGCAGAAGAACACACAAAGACTAATTCATTAGAACAGATAATACTCAGACACCGTTAATTGTATTTGTCTTCTTAATTGGATGTACCGAAAGAAAAAAAATCAGAAATTGTATTCATTAATTAACCGATGAAAGCATACGGTTGACAAGCTGTTTAAAGCTCTGCATTTTTTTCTTTATCACTATGTTTTGTGTAATCCAGCATCATTTCTTTTCCTCTCTTTTTAAATAGGATGGAGTTGATGTGAGGAGGGGCAACGAGTTGGGAAGACTTGGGTGGGCTCACATGGCTGAGATAGTCACCGCCAGCAAGTAAAGGAAATCAACAGTGTCAGCAAGGCCTCATCCTGTTCTCACTGCACCATAATCCAATCATCTCCACAGACAGTGCTGCATTCAAGTGTAAATAAAACTGTGCTTATTAAGGCTCCAACATCAGGTATGAGGAGGGGAGAGGAGGAGGCAGAAAAAGGAAAGAGACATGCAAGAAAACAAGCTCCACAGGCCCCCTCCTCCTTCTCAGTGAAGAGCCTCATCATCTCCAGAAAAACCAACTTTCTCCAAATGAGATGTAGCCCGGGGCTATATATTAAAAATGCATATCAAAGCAAAGGAAAATGGACGTGAGAGAGTCTAACTAAATAAATTAGCATATCTAACTATCAAGCCGCCTTCCTCTCCTCAATGAGACAAGGACAGAGATGAATAATAAAACAGAGCCCAAGACAAGTGAATAAATAAAATAATTTAAAAATATATAACAAAATTCATCCAGCAGCAAAGTTGAAATGTAGATTTGTGAAATAGCTGAACACTTTCCAATTATGGAAATTATAACAGTCTCATTTCCTGCAAATATAAAGTTCATGAAGTGCACGTGCTCTTGCATTATTTATCTTTACACTAAGATAATTATATTCCCATACAACGATCAACACTCGGTTCACAAAAAAAATTTAAAAAAAAAAGATGAAAAGTTCCACAAAAGTGAAATGGGTCACTCCAAGACAAATAGCCTTCCATGCAGCCTGCTTTGTTTCTTATTTACTTTATTTGGCACGTTTCGTGTTTTAATGATCAAAATATGTGTGACACGTGCAGTCCCTGACAGAGAGCTGGTGTCTGCAGCATCGGAAATTGGCTTGAGCATCAACCATCTGCCACGAAACTAAACAGGCCAGTTTATCTAATCTCTCCAGTATAAACAACAGCATGCATCATTTCTGCACTTATGTTTGGGAGGACCACAGAGTCTGAAAAATAAAATAAAAATCTGTCCAAAACTGAGGGGGGTTCACCTGGAGCTGCGCGCTGCGTGCGTCTCCACTGACTGGGTGCTGCAGCCAGACCCAACAGATGCAGCAGAGACTTTGCACAACACTTAAATCTGTTTTAATTCCTAATAGGCTTGGCCTTGTGTTACACCGTCACTTTGTTACACTCATATTTTATTTGACTCCCGCCAAACTGTTCACACACGTCAAAAGTCCACTCTGCAGAGGAAGAGCCTGCGTTTATTACGCGGGAAATGCGGCCATGTGCACTGCAGAATCGATCTTCCCATTTAAAGCTACTGTACTTCAGGTGCATATAATTGAATTCAGCATTATTGCAGCCTCCGGCCATAAAACGCGCGGGGGCCACGAAAAGAAAGCAAGTGCAGGAGCAAAGAAACCACACGGCAATCAATACGGAACAATTAAACACATTAACATCAACAGCAGCAGGGGGAACGGGGGGGGGGGGGGGCCTCCAGACGGACCATCATATGCCTGCCCTGTGAAGTTGACATTGATGGTAAGCCTTCTGTAAAGTAACCACTTTCTCCACCTCTGCAGCAAAAATCCACAGCTTTACGCACGGAGCCGTATCCATCTCCCCCAGCTCCAAATATAAAAGCTCTTTTATATTTCTTTATATATATTGACCTAAAGCTAAAGCTTACGCTGATTCCTCTGCTTTAACCTGCGTAACAGATAATTGCCTCACTTTCCCCCCCTTTTTTTTTTTCCACGATGCGAGGCAGCGTTTTTACGCACGCACACATCCAAGCCCTCCATACAGGCGCACAAGCATCATGCACACATGACTGCTCCTAATCAAAGGACTCAAACAATAACTCCGTCCATTGGATCACATGTAGCTTTTGACCTCAGAGCATCGATCCGGCAGGTTTTCCTTGCAGAACAGAGCATGCTTTATTTACTGACGGCGCAGCGGGGTCACACACTCCACACAAGCTTTGGACACATCAAACACCCGGATCTTTTCTGAAAATATCTAATCAAGTCACGTGCATTAAAAAAAATATAAGAGCATGTATTTACACTGAGGCAGCAGCAGTTTTTTTACTCACGTGATCTGCGAGGTTAGTCGACGATCCCGAAAGTTCTTCGTGGTCTGACTTCGAGCTGCCATCCCGCTCATCAATAACTAGATCTATTGGCATTTTTCCTTTCAAACAGCTGATGTACCGATGGCAAAAGTTGTCGCAGAGTTCATGCACCTAAAACAGCACAAACATAAAATAAAAATAACTAAATAAACAAATAAAAGAGGAACTATAAGCACATTTTTTCCAGGATGGGGAAACGCATCAGCTAGTCCAAGAATAACTCCAATTAAGGGAGGGGGTGGGGGGTGGGCATTATCGGCGAGCCAGGAAACAATAGTGAAATTGTTGCAGAGCTTATTATTCTCCCGAGACCTGAGCAACAAGTTGGAAAAATAATAAAATTAAACAGCGCGCGGCAGAAAGCTGAGGGAGATAACGAGAAACCAAATCTGCGGATCGATACCAGTGTGGGCCAAAGAGCCTCTGACATATTTTATCAATAGTTTCTTCTTCTGTGTCGATAATTGGCTGAATAAAACATCTTATTGCGTAAAAGTGAAAAACTTTCCTTCCGGTTTCCTCTCGGATGTCTAATAACTGAGTGACGCAGGTCTGATCAGTTCAGCTCACAAGTTCAACAGTTTATTTAATAAACGTACCTTTTCTAATTCCAAGAGGTGAAACCGTAATACTTGTATGGCTTGTATCATCTGAAAGAAAGAGGATACGCGTTTATTTTTAATTATGAGGCAATGGGAATGAATATTTCCTTATGTCTGTTTATAAATTATAATAAGGAAACATGTTTTCTGCTTTAAAATAAAATACATTTTAAAAAATAATAAAATCAGTGACGCTGTTCCACAGATGCGTCAAAGTGAATAATGACGACAAAGACAATAAACTGTGGCACAGCTTGACTTCAGCACGGATCAGAGACCTGCTCTAAACTTTAAATCATATTTAAATCAGCCACGTTTCCTCCGGAGTGTCGGTGGAGAGCTGCTGCACTCTGTTTACAAATCAACAAGAACTTACCAAATTATCCAACTCTGGATTTGATGAAAATAAAGGCTTTTCTGCTCGGACCTAAAACACACCAGACATTTATGTTAGTGTAAAACAAATCGACAGGAATGTGCGTGTGAAGTTTAGAAATGAACACAGCGAGGGTTTGATCATCGTGCGTCATGACGCATGAGAACATTTTATGTATTTTTTATTTTAGGTTTTCAGATTGACCTGTTTGGCAAAAACTGCGATGTCCTCATTAAAGGAGTCTGAGGAGCAGACGTCGCCGCCTGCCACGCCGGGCTCCCTCGGAGTGCACGTCGCCAACTCGCACTTCTCAAAAACCAGCGCGAGCAGAGGGAATAAAGGGTGACTGCAAGAGGAGGAAACACATGAGCGCGAGCAGCTCCACGAGCTAAATGTCCCACCAACCCCAAATATCTTCCCACTCCTCCACTCTCACTTTCCACCTTACATCTTCTCACGGAGCATCGAGCACACACACGCACGCACTGCTCTCAGAGAAATAGATTTATTGGGAAATTTAAGACGACATTAACTTTTAATTTGGATTATTTTTGCTCTGTTTTTGATTAAATGTGGCGGTTTCGGCTTTTAATTAACACAGTGCAAAAATAAAACACCAAAAAGTACAAAAAAAAAAAAAAATTAAGTGATTTATTTTATATTATGCATTAAAATACAAATAATAATAATTGTTGTGTTCAACACAAACTGAGGCACCAAAGACTCATATTTTATTCTAAGGAGGCCTGCAGCTTTAACTTACAGTAAAAAAAAAAGTAAAATATAAATTCCAGGCAACATATTAAGATAATAAAATAATTTTTTTGACATTTAAATTATAGTTTCACAAAATAAAGTCTTCTTATAAAAGTCGCTTTTGGCTTTTTAATCCTCGCGTTTTGATTTGTAGCAGAGAATTAAAAAATGAGGAGAAACTCTTCCTGCCTCGTATAAAGACGGGAAGTGCTCTGTGAGCAAAAAACTGAAGCATTTTTTTTAGTTTGAACACTTTAAAAGTTTATTTTATAGTTTAAGAGCAAGATTTTATAAGTAGATACACTGACACAATGTGTGTTAATATATTTAAAGTACTTTTACAGTGAATAACTAATTAAAGGAGGTTCGTTTCTTTTTGTTTTCAGCCTAGAGCACATTTTATTCTCAAACAGTTTGGGCGACTTGTGCATATTATTTTCCAAGCTCCAGGCTCGTGCCCTTTACTTTGAAGGTGCCTCTGTACAATGAGTGTAAAATGACACAGCAACAAAACTCCCCTGACCAACAATGGAGCTCCAAATGAAACGTGCACGAAACGCTGTTTAAATAGAGCGGATCGAGGAGGAGGAGATGGAGGTCGGGGGCTCCAAACTTGAAGTTGCAATAAAATAAAAAAAAAGGCTGAAAAGTTTAAAAAGTGCATCTTCTTCCCTTACCCGTATATTTGATCTTTATCCCGTTTTAAAACGTCGTTGACAGCGGAGCCCATGCTGGTGGGCATGACGTTCGGGTGCGGAGCGTGCGCTCCGTAGTGCTGGCTCGCGTGCAGCGGCGGTCCGTGGTTCAGGTGGTGGACCTGGGGAAGCGGCCGGGGAGCGTGCGGGTCCCCGTACATGGACGCCGGGACCCCGTCCATCCCGCCATAATGGGCCAGCTCATCGTACTGGGAAGGAAAAGATGAGAAAGACAAGTCAGCGCACTTTCTGTTGCACAAAAAGCGCATTCTGAGTGCTCCAGCTCTTAGATTACCAGAAACATTCTAACTCAAGATGTCTCCTTCTTGCGCACAGAGTTTGGTGGGGAACGAGCCCAGTTTGGAGCCTCGTGTGAAACTGAGACTGGCGTGGAGACGCAGAGGCTGTCACTCCAACTGAGGAGTGTGCGCGCTGCGAGGAAAACTCTCAACTATAGGTGGCTTTGATAGGAATACTTTGTAATATTGCCAAGAACCCCTGGACCAAAAAAAAAAGGGGGGATCTGGGTTTGAACAGGTAATGGAGATTTAAACACCAACAAAACCTACCCGTTGCGCCATCAGCCTGCGCTCCAATAAACTCCCGAATCGGTCCGAATATTTAAAATCCAGTCCGGGCTCAGAAAGTGAGTCAGTGGCACGATTCCTTTTTCAAAACAACTTTGCGAATCGTCCTATTCGCCAGTCTGGTTGCCTTGAAGTCGTAGCATGGGTGAAAGTTTGGCAAAATTTCTTGTTCCTCTTCTTGGAAAAGAAAGACAAAAATAAAAAACAAATGGCCAAAGTGACGCTACAATCGGCCCATCAACAACCTGCATGGAACTAAACTGTCGTGTCTCATGGCTTTTTGCCACTCCAGCTGTCAATCAAAGCCAGAGGTTGTCAAGGTAATGAATGAATGACGGTTGGTGATGATGTTCAGGAGAAGGGCGAATCTTTTTTAGTCCGTTTTCATCCCGCAAGTCCGCGTCTCCTTTAATGCCTCCAGATCGCAATCTTGTTTTATTATCACTGTAAAAAATAGAAGAGGAAAAAAAAAGAAGCGGTGTGGAAATGAACAGAGTGCGATTCGGATCTCTCCTTTCTGTCTTTCCCCCCGTAGGTATTTCGTATCTGGCCAGACTGAGATGAGTGAGTGTCAGCGAGTGTTGGCAGGTTGGCTGCTAGCTTGCTTATAGAAACAGAGTCAGTTCGCGGCGCTGAGCGGTGGGCGAATGAAATGACGGATCCCGGAAGTAGTGGTGGCCATAGCCAGTCCTACAGCAGCTCGGAGAGAAGAGAGAGGAGAGACCAAATCTTGTGATATGCACAGAGCACAGGGACGGCTTCAACTCCACACTGGGGGTAAAAAAAAAAAAACTAAAACAACACAACTCCCACCCAGTTCCCCTTTTTTCTTCTACCCCCTCCTCCTCCTTTCTCCTCTCTCCGCCGACAAGAGTCCTGGAGAAAAAGCAGAAGAGGTTGAATGAGAGCGGATATTTTTCCTGGAGCTGTGTCGACTTGTATAAAAAAAAACACACACACACACACACAACCCCGACTAACGTGAACGCTTTTTAAAAAAGTTCACTTAAAAGCGAAATTACGCAACGTTTACGCACGAAAACGGAACGTCACCAAAGTGTAACACATGGTCAAATATATGAGGTTTCATCCAAGCAAACTATCTAAAGTGCAGCTAAATGCTCTCAGAGATGATATGAATGTTGAGGTTTCATTCAGGACGTTGACTTGTTATCTGTTTGGTGGTTAGAAACCGCGTGCATGCGTAATATCCCCGCGTAATACCTCCTAATCTCGCACCTAATTATTGCTCTGGGCTTTTTTAGCAAATTAAACAGGACGCAGCACCCCTCTAAGCCCACAATGAACTTTTCCAAGAGGAAGAGAGAGGAAAAAAAGCTTTCTGTGTAGAAGGGAAACTAATTTTCTACGTTTCTGTCGTCCAATCACGTCCCTTGATCGGAGCTCGTGCCTTACCTCAGAGTAGTCAATTATCAAAGCTCCCCGAGATCATCAATCATGTGTGGAGATTGAAGTTTAGAGGAGGAGCAACGCTCCGGCCATTGATTCCAGTCAAGCCTTCTGTTTTTTTTTTTAGCCTGGACACTTTGACGCACAAAACAGAAGCAGGCCATCTATCCCCTTTAATATTTAGCTCCATCCGTGCTAATGCGCCATCATGCTCCTATTGATAGGTTCTCACATAAAAACAGCTTCAATGGGAGCTCCATGACATTTTTGTTTTTGATGGTGGAAATTAATTATTCACAGGTTAGGATTAAGGTGGACGCCTGCTCAGGGAGCTGGGCTGTGGCTACCGTTGGAGGGTCAATAAACTGTGCCAACAAACAAAATACTAGTTGCTCTGGGTCGATTGTAGAGCTGGCAGAGGGCTGTTTTTTGTCTCCCTCTCTCTCTCTCTTTAAAGGAAAAATGATTTAATAAATGAAACCGTGACAACAGTTATGTTTGTTGGCATAAAAAGGGGGGAGGAGGGGGGAGTGTGGGACTTGCAGGCTTTGACAAACGGCTGTGTGGACATTTCAACGCGCAATACCCCGGGAAGGAGCTGCAGAGCTGCGCGCAGAGAGAACCAAGACGCACGTCGTCTCCAAGTCTCCCCTGCGCTCTGTAAACAGCCTCTGCTGCTGGACGCGCAGATTCTCATAACCCAAATACTCCGTTCACATTTGTTTGTGCGCAAACCTTTGACTTCTTCTGCTATTTTTACTCTTTTCTTTCATCGTCCTGTTTTGGACCAACCTTGGTGAGTAGCATATTCATATACTTCAGTGCGAGCGCGCTCCTAAAAGTTTTATTTACTGGGATGGACTAATACAAACACTATGAAGGCATAAAATTGTTTCTAAAGTGAGATCAAATATGCGCTTGAATATTATTATTATGTTCTAAAATTCAAACGCTTTTGAAATTTTTATTTTTGTTTTCTTATATTTATTTTAGAAAAATGATGTTTACCCCGAGGGAGAGCTGGAACTGAAAGTAGAAGCTCCACAGACACGTGCTTAAAATTTTCTTAACAACTTCCCAAGACACGTGATTAATTAAAAAAAATATTTATTCTGATGCAGTAATTAACGGAGCCTGGACAAATAAATTCATAATTAAGAGTAATTAATGACAACAATAAAGCATGAGAAAACAGTTAAAATGTTTGAAATTGATGTATTTGTAAAATCATTTAAAAATACAGTTTAATCTTTTAATCTGAAATGAATAATCCGTCACTTAATGCTTAATTAATGCTATTGTTTTCCTCCTAAACACGTCGTGTGCCAACCCCCTTCCCCTCCCAGCTTTAAACATTTTCATTAATTAGACTTTTTTTTCTGCATATTTAAAAATAATAAAATAAAATAAAAATTCTATTATTCTTTTCCCCACTCAGGTGCGCTGTCACGACGCGGGCGCGCACGACGCAAATCAGTAGATGGCATCACCGGGGCGGTAAAATTTCATCTGGTGGTGTCAAATTGAGGTCAGTTTAGGGTTAAAGCGCTCGGTGTTCCGTGTGGGACATGGCCAGCTGCGTTTGGATTCATTAAAACAAGGAGGGAGGGGAGGTGATTGGGGGTGGGTGAGGTGAGGGGGGGGGGGGGGGGGGGTTCCTAGGAAGGATCCATTTCAAGGAAAAACCACTGCTGGGAGAGTCACCAGTGTCCGCATCCTAAAGGTGCACCAGAGCTCCAGCTCTGAACTTCCAACTCCTCTGTTTACTCTTTGCAGGACACCCCCACCCCCCCACCCCAAATACTCACCTCCTCTGTCCCCTCTCCCGCCGGGCTCGGTTGTTCAAACACACACACTCACACACACACACACACACACACACACTAGCCTGTTGCTAAAACAGCATTGTTGATTTAATTCCCTCCAGAAGATGGTGATATCAGACGAGCCTTCAAATCCTCTTAGTGACTCAAACACTCCTGCAGAAACAACAGCAGGAACAAATGAAATCGCCCTAATCTTGTTTGTAACTTTGTTCTTTGTTCTTTTTTTTCTTTTTGGCCCTCTTCAGGGTTTGAGATTATGCAAATGAGCTGAGATTAGAGGAGCGGCGCGGACAATCTGCAACATTTCTTCCACTTTTTAAATCAGCTTTGGAGACAAATTTCAACCATTTCGTGATTTTAAGTTGACGCATCAGAAATATTTTAATTTGTTTTAATTAATGCGTAAAGACAAAGAAGATGAATTAAATTTATTAGCGTCACAAACTGCCTTGGAGTTTTTATTCGCCCGCAGACACATTTTCAAACACTACTTATTTGTTTACAGGCAAATAATTGTTATTTCTTCTTCCAAGTCCCCAGTCCTCTGCATGTGAACTCCCTTTGACCGCCCCGGGACTGAAATGGGACTATAAGGTTTCAGAAAGTGGAGCGAGCAGCTCAAATACTTGTAAAACTTTCGCGAGTAACTGTAAATTCTTCAGCTCCAAAGCCTCATTTTCCCCTCCACCGATTCTCAGAATCTGGTGTCAGAAGGTTTGGGCAAAAGGAGGAGGAGGAGGGAAGAAAGACACGGAGTGAAGGAAGAGGGGAGGCCATCACAGAGCGTCCTCCTCATCCAGGAGGAATGCGCGGCCCGAGGGCGACACCTGGCGGCAGCAGCTGGAAGCGAAGCTGCTGCGCAAAGAGAAGGCCCCCAAATCCACTAAACTAAGCTGAAAACAGTCCCACAACATTCCTCATGAAAACCTAATTACACTTAAAAACACTTAAATATTTTATTTAAACGACGGAAGGTGAAATTAATCTATTTGGTTGATAACATGGGCGGAATAAAGCAAATATAATAAATTAAACTTCCTGTAATTTCGGCATATGTTTCAGATCTTTTAAACAATTTTGCAGATAGATCTATAAAACCTTTTTATTATAGACGCCAATCCTATTTTGTTAAAAATTAGTGGCTCATCTAATATATATATATATATATATATATATATATATATATATATATATTTTTTTTTTTTTTTTAAACTATTTTTATATTTGAAGTCAAAACGTTTTATTCTGTTTTTAAGTAAAAAAAAAAATCCAAATGTTACTTGGTCATTATTTACATTTCTTCAATTTAAAGAAAAACGCAAAGGATGTTATGCATAATCTAAATCACAGCAGTATCGAACAAATTGTTTTAAAAAAAACTGAAAGTTTATCTTTTTTTCTGGGGGGGTCATTGCGTGAAAAAAAATTTCAAAAGAGATTTAAACAAGTCAAGAGAGCATGTCTGGATAAAGCGAAGCCTTAAGAAATTAAGTAATTAAAATTAAAAACATTAAGAATAAACTTATTCAGAATTTAATTTAGTATGACCGATTATAATTAAAAAAAAAAAAAAAAAAATAATAATAATAATTTGAGAGAGAAATCAAGAACATTGTCTTAGTTCAAACATTTATGTTGTGTAATTAGATTAACCCTAGTTTGCCCCTTGCTGAGTGTGCGCGCGCGCAGCTCTGCCGGGCGGTGACACACTTTGAGCAGGTCAGAGCTGAGATTAGAACCCGTCGTTAACGCCTCGGATCCACCAAATGCGGATTTAATGAGCTTGTATTGGCTGTTTGTTCCAGAATACCTGGGGAGCATTAGGAACGCACCGCCTCTTTAATCCAAGCGTTTCCTCCAACACTCCGCTTCAGAGGCAGCCCCATGAATCCTTTCCTTTATTATTATTATTATTATTATTATTAGTTATTCTAGTTGGATCGAACCGGCCTGCATCCGGTCTCAGATGTAATTGAGAGAAGTTTAAGTGGGAAGCCATGAGTTAATAGCATGACCCTCTTGCTGTGCCACTGTCGCTCATCATTTATCAGGCTTAAGGGGCTTAAACAGGCAGCACAGACCCACCTTTTATTACACATCAAACCCTCTCTGCCTTATCTGCATTGGAAGGAACGCGACGCATCGTTGGCTGTTACGCGGATTTGGGAACAGAAACATGGTCCATAAAGTCTCCCTCCTCCGCTGATCACAGGAAATATGTCTGCAGGCGCCGCGGAGACTTTAAGCCCTTATTAAAGGCTCTTCATCCCTCCCACCTCCATGAAACCACTTTAAACACCGTCCTGCTCTTGTCTGTCCGCCACTGACACTTTCCCTGGATAAAATCACACACAGGTCTGGAATAATATCAAAAACCAAGTTTGCATCAAAATAAAATAACCAAACACGTGCGAACGTGTTAAAGGTGAGGACAAATATTCAAATGTTTGTTTGTTTGTTTTTTTAATGGCACACTTTTTCTTAATACAAATTCATAGTGAATCCCCCCCCCCCCACACACACACA